CATATACTTTCATAATTTTTATTATTTTTCATCCCCAATTTATTTACGAGCTATTTTAAAGATTTTTTAGAATCTCTCGTATGGTTTTGAAAAATTTTAATTTTAAAAGAAAAGAAACGAAAAAATGAGTTATTTCATAAATTTTTCTTATTAAATATTGAACTACTTTTACAATTTTAAATGATCCAAAAGTTTTGAACGTTCAAATGAACAAAATATTTGTTCAATCTATAAATTATTAAAAATTATGATGGCGATGTAAAATAAAACAGTAAATTAAACAATTATGAAATTAAAAAACTTTTTTTTTATATATGTAAAACAATATTTTGTAATAAAATTTGTACTTAAAGAAGTTGCAAAAAAAATTTCATTTATTTGAACGTTCAAAACTTTTATCTTATAATTTTAACTATTTTTTATCGCAAATTTTTTCGAACGTTTTTTCAGCGATTCTTCAGAGAATCTCTTGTATGGATTTTCAAAAATTTTTATTATTTAAAAAAATACAAATTCTAAAATAATAAAAAAATTAAAATTTTATTTTTTTGACCTTCGTGTATGTTTTTAGGGCCCAAATAACGCAATAAAAAAATATAACATCATGGGATCATTAAAATTTAAAGTGGGCAAAATAAAGGTGGTGCCTTCTCTTATTAATTTCTTTCCTATACATCATTGAAAATAAATAAAATAGACTTTGAAATAAATTAATAAATGCTATAAAAAGTTTATATAGTGTTTACTTTTTTTTTTTTTTTTTTTTTTTTTTTTGCTTAGGGACTTTTGGGAAATCTGTATACAGATACATTGGCTTCCGCATGCCAAGGTATTTTGAATGAAAGAAACCAAGTCCAAGAAATCTTTTCACTAGGTGTATATATATAATTAAATAAAACTTAATCTAGAAAAAATATATTAAAAATCAATAAAAATAAATTAAAAATATAAATAATTTTTTGATATAATTCAAAATCAGAAAAAAATTGACCTGAATAAAAACGTTCGTTTGCAGTTAACTTTTCTTTTTTTTTAGGAGATAATTTTTCAAACTTGAACAAGATTGCGATAGAAAAGTGGGAGCTATGAAGAGCGAAGCTCCATGTCCTTTCTTCGGAAGAGGATACTTAGGATTAATCAAGAACGTTGTAATTGAATTTAACGTTCGAATTGAGTATTTTCGCTTACAAAGAGCAGAGAGTAGCGTAGATCGAATTGAAGGAAAGGAAAAAAAAGAAAAAAAAAATAATGAGAGACGATCGCAAGAGACAGTGGCAGAATCAGTTAGGATTAAAGATAAAGATAGCGTATAAGCGCGTATATACGAATATCAATTGAGATGAATTGCGAGGATTAACAATTTTGCAAGAATCGGCGAATTTGTCTTTGAAAAGTGGATTTCAGAATCGACAGAAGTAAAGTAATCTTTCTTAATAGGGATCTCTAAACATGTTTAAATATATATATATATATATACAAAGTGCACGCGATATAGTCTTTTACCCCTCTGCTTCTTATATACAGTGGATTTACGTAAATTGATTTTGAGAAATTCATTTATAGCGATTATTTAAATTTATTTTTTATATAATAAATTATTATTTCATTTTCTCATATCGAAACTTTCATTTATAAATATAAACGTTGACGTGGACTAAATACATACATTCTATACGTACGCCTTTCTTTTATTCCATGACTTACTGCTTTTATTAAAGACATAATGTTATGGAATATCCGAATAGAATAAACTTCGACTACAATACGTAAAGAACAAAAAGTACAACTTCAACCGAACGAGGAATATATCGCTAGTAAATAATAATAAAATATAAACGAAAAATTGTGTTTCACATATCTAAAAATGCAAAAAAAAAAAAAAAAAAAATGTTTGGAAGTTATATTTAAAAAAAACTTTTAAAATTAATAAATATATATATATTAAATTGTTATTTAAAAAAAATTTTCATAAATTTTCTATTTGTAAAAAAGATTGTTTTTTTACTTTTTCTAAACAAATTTATCTATCTATAATGTTAAATGATTTAAATTTTATTGCAATAAAAATATTAATTTTAATAAAAATCACTCACCAGTTTAGTAAAATATTAGTGATCATGATGACAGCATTCTAACATTCCATTTTATCTGTAAAAATATATTTACTATATAATATATTAATTTTTAAATTTTTTTCAATTTTTTTTTTCATTACATATATATATTTAATAAAATATCAATTCGTAAATTTGTAAATGTAAATCAATTTTGTCCACTTATTTATATGAATTAATACGCGCGTTGGTTGTCGGAGTATTTGCAAATATTTTACAAGTCACAATGTGTAATAAACTCTTGTGACAAGAAGTAAATAAGGGTGAGAAAAGGGTTGAGCGTAGAGTATTTTTCAACAATGTGCGCACTTTTAAAATGGAAAAATTTTCCTTTTTAAATCATATCATGTACATTACTGTATATAAATCAAAAGCTAGTTCGATTTTAATAAAAAAAAAAAATTTTATACAGAAAATAAAATCGCGATACATAACTGATGATAATAATTTTTTCGACAAAAATTAATCAATTTATAATTTCTACCGAAAATTGACAAAAATAAAACATTCTTCAAACTGAATTAAATCTTCACGAAAAACAGTTTTTTTCTGCAACAACGAAAGATTTCCTTAGAATAGTGAAAGATTTAACTGAAACAATTAAAACTTTTGCTATATTCTATTGAAATCCTCTCATTGTTGCAGGTAAATATTTTTCTGAGTACAATATATTTTACAATTTTCGTTTAGCAATTTTTTTATTTACATTTAACATTAAAATTGCATTTTTCGTTAAAAAAAATAAATTAATTTGAAACAATTGTTAACATCTAGAAAAACGTTTTTTTACATCAAAGAAATATATATTTCTTTGACACATATAGGGTCAAAGAAATGTTTTTTTTTAATTTAAAGAAAATTTTTTAATTCTATATAAAATTTTGTTTGAAATTAAAAAAATATTTTTTTGTAATCAAATAAATTTATTCTTTAAATTAAAGAAAACTTTTCTTTGACCCTATATATCAAAGAAATAAACATTTTTCTGGTTGCATATATACTGTAATTTTGGAAAACATTGAATTAAAATTAAAAGAAAATTATAAAAGAATAATTTGTTTAAAAAAAAAATTCCCTACTTAAATAATAAGTTAAAAATAATTAAAAATTTTTTTTTCAAATTTTTCAGTTTGATAAAAAAAAACTATTATTAATTCTCCGAGAACAATGAAGAGATTCCTCACCCGATGTCCTTTCCCGGCTTAATTTTCCCTCTCAATTCTGTCCCATTAGTTGTTTATACGCTATATATATATATATAGAGAGAGAGACAAAGAGGGAGAGTGCGAATGGGAAGGAACCAAAAATTACGACAAGAAAAGAGTGTGAAAAAAATTTCGTTCGTTTTTCAGAAAAATAGCTCAATTTGGAAATTCATTGCTTTTGCAAAATCTCGTCCCTTGTACACACATCCACATACATACACAGACATTCTTTTCGTTCGTCCGGAATTCGCAGTAGTGAGAAGTCATAACTCATAAGTTTCATCCTCCTCGTTGGACACTTTCCACCACCATTGCCACCAGAGAAAACCGTCACGAATTGGCAGTGTAAAGTCCCAGTGTTGTACCATCAAGAATAGACCTTAAGGTCTTTCGCGTCAAAGGCGACTTTTGCACCCCTTCAACTTAAGGGGCGAGTTATAAATCGATTTACGCTTCAGCCTATGAGGGTTGCAAGTGGTGCTTTCTGATTGGCTCATGCTAAGGCCACTCCCACATCATTAATAAAGCTTCTAAACGAAAGCCAGTTTCACACTGTAGCAAAAATTACTTACTTCTTTTTAAATTCTCTCACTCTATTCTTTCGATAAATAAATTAAATGACTAATTATTAGTTCTTGGAAATTAACCAATATGATTAATCTTTTGGATAATGATATTATACGGAGAAAAAAAATTTATTTTATTCAAAATAATCGTTTAGTTGACTATTATTAAATAAATATTTATTTGTATTAAATAATTATTGAGTCAAATGGTATTTGTATTAAATACAGTTTATATAACTAAAAAATTATTTAATACAAGTAAATATTTATTTGTAGTCAAGTAACCAATTATTTAAATCAAATAAATTTCTTTTTTTCAACGTATGTCAAAAATTACCTCAATCTGACGCCTGATTGGTACTATATGAATACAACAACTCTAGAAGAATGCAATTTATTATTCAAATAATCACACAGAAAAAATATAGTCTCACTTTTGTTGCAACTCAAAATGAGTTAATGCTAAACGACATAGAAAGTGGCGCCACCAAACTGACTCATTTTTGTTGCACAGCCGCCTACACGACTCATTCTGAGTTCAGTTTTATTCTGTACACTGCAAAAGAAAATTATAATTAAATTCTGTTAATTCTCATTAGAAAAAATTTTTTTTTTTATCAATCTTGGTATAGTCATCTGCATAGAAATAACCTACTGGACGGGAAAAAAAGAACGAAAAAAAACTAGTAAAAAATAAGCCAGGTTGATGGCGCCACTTTCTATATCGTTTAGCATTGACTCATTTTGAGTTGCAACAAAAATGAAACTGGGTTCATTCTATGTTCAATCCAAATACACACACCTCTAATCAAATTATAATCATATCAACTCAACTCTAATGATCTAAAATTAAAAATAAGAATCACCTATTTTGTTATCTAATACAAAAATGTCGAAAGGATCTAAAAAAGTGTAATTATTATAATTATAAAAAGAAGTCATACCAAAGTATATGATGATTTTAACTAGGTTTTTTTGTGTTGTGAAATGTGCTGTTGTAGGCGTACACCAAAACGGGCGTCAACAATGTGAGATCCACCTCTAGATATAAATAGGGCTATGTCTGCCCGGATGCTGGTTTGAAAAAACGGACCAATCCACGATGCGAGACGGCCACTACTGGGTACCTAAAGTAGGCGCGACTGTGGGGCGCCTGTATGTATGCGACATCACCGACTAACACTGAAGATCCCCACCCCTGTGAGCCCGCGGGTTGTCGCGACGGGGCCAAAAGCAGCCGTTTCCGGGGGTTCCCTGCCCTGGCTTATTCCTTGTCTTTCTAAATCCTTACCCACGACAAGCCACCCCAACGTGACGGTTCTTCAGTTGCACATCGTCGCGACTACGACACGGACACACCATATATACATTCATTTTAGAGGATTTTTCATTTTTATCATTCCTTTATTGCATCTGAACAATAACAACGAAATTATCCTATTTCCACCCCAACCACATAAGGAGTATTTTCAAAAAAAAGAAAATATGTGTGACAATATATTTTGACATTATTTCAGTTTCGCTAAATGCTGATAAATTGTGATAAAGTGCGTTAAAAAAAATTAAGATTTGCCTCAATATACATAATATAGTGATGAATCATTGACAAAGTTGAGGAATTTTTAGACGCATCTTGGGGAACTCTTCCAAAACTGAAATCTGATCTTTCTGCAACGCGTGGATGAAAGGCTCTCGCAGGTATCCCCCCTTGAAGAACACTCATATATATATATATATATATATATATACTTAACGACAGAAATAAGACCATTCAGGTTTTTGGAGCTCCTTCTTATTATTATACTTGAGAAGTGTTTGTGTATGTGTATATGTGCGTCAATTCTCAAAAAAAAGGATCCTCCAAATGTAGAATTGGAGTCTTGTCATGTTTTCGGATTCAATCAACATAAATATAATTTTTGACAAGATTATATGTCAATCATAATACATATAATTCACAGATTGAATTTTAACTGAATTGGAAAATATTTGTAAAAACTTTCCATTTTTTAAACAAATATAAAAATAAAGCAGTAATAGTGTCAATATAAAATCTAGAAGAATTAAAAAAAAAAAAAATTCTGTACCTGATTACAACGAAACCAATCAATCAACGAAGAAAAAAAGGTTTTGAAATACGTGACAACATTATATTGAGCACTGCAATCATTTATATATAAAGAACGCGACGGATCCGAGACAGTGAACAAACAATTCCAGTAGACTTATTTCGAAGGGTTGGCAAGTTGCCGTCGCTTGCCAAAAAAAAATTCGCAAATCTCGCCGTCGCTTAGGGAATTGTTAAACACTCTCTTTCATCAAACAAAATTTCTTCAAGAAATGAAAATTTATGAAAATACTTAAATATTTTTTTTTTGTTTTGCGGATAAAAACAAACTTATGTGTCCGTGTGTAAATTGTTTTTTTCTAATATGAACCAAACTAATACTTCGGATAGTAAAATCATTTAGTGACTATAATCTTCTAAACAATAAAACCTTATTTATTAATTTTGAATTTATTCTATATATAGTTTAAAATGAAGTTTCAATTAAGTTTGCTGCGGAAATAGCTTTCCGCATGAAGAAAAAGAAATTTAATTATAATTTTCATGAAAAGAGGATGTTAATTTAAATCAATCACGATTCATCCAAAAATAACGAAAATGCCGCAGCGATCGCCATTCGCGATCCAGGAGCTGCTTGGCCTAAATGGTACGGGGAATGGTAGCGGTGCTGATCGTGGATCACCTCAGGGTTCACCACCGGCAGGAGTGTCGGCTGTATCCTATGCACCGGCAGCGCCACATCATAAATTATGGGACTATATGCCATCCCTGACAAATCATTTGGGCAATTTGGGCAATCTTGGAAACTTGGGCAATTTAACGGCATCGCGAATGGCCTATTTGAATGCTCAAGCAGCCGTCGCTGCGGCTATTTTTCCACCACCTCATCCCCATCCAGCTCATCATGTTGCTCATCATCAGATACATCAGCCTAGCCAACTTCCGTCTCCTGGTGTCAATGTGCATCCGGCTACCCATGCGCAACATGTACTTCCGGGCACTGCCGTGTCCGCCAATCATCATCAGCTTAGTCCCAGTCAGCATACACCTCCTCACGGTAGGTTGTTATAGTTGATATTATATGCAAGTGTGCTCTCATTAAGTTTAGTGTGAATCCAAATAAGTATAGAAATTATATATGTCCATATCTGAATACATATATATATATATATATATATATAATCAAAGCAGAATCAAAATCTTTATCATTGTCTGAAATGATTTCATTTGTATTATAATAGCACGCAGAGAGACTATGTGTATATTCAAGTTTAAAATTTTGAGTTAAACATATATACACACGGCACACAAGTATTGTGGATATGTATATATTAGCGTGTATACATTCTCGATAACAGTCCATTTCAATAGAGATTATGCAACATTTATAATATATATATATATATTGTACCATTTGGAAATACTGATTTGATTAGTTGCACGAGTTTATACAGACTGTTCCATTTGCAATTTACAGATTATTTCATTTATTACATATTATACGGATATTGTAACATTCAAAATACAGTCTTATCAGTTTCATTTTACAAATTGTACCATCTGTAATTTACAAGATTTACTATTTCTAATATACGGATTGTAAACCATTAAAATAGTCAGATCTTATCAGTTGCAGTTTACAAATTGTTCCATCTGCAATTTAAAGAATTGCATTATGGATTATACCTCACTGAATGACTTTTTATTTTAAAAATTAATATAATTTGTTTCAAAATGAGGAAAACTCTGTTTTTGCACTATTTAATCGTATGAATGTTTGTGACCAAAAACAATACTGAAAATTAGTATGGACCATATAATTATTTTTGGTATTATTTCGTTAGAAACTATATAGTATACATTCATACGACTATAAATAGTATAAAAACAGAGTTGTCCTCATTTTGAAACAAATTATATTAATTTTTGAAACAAAAAATCATTCATCAGAGCATTTGCAATAAATGTCTTATCTGTTGCAGTTTACAATATGTACCGCATTTGCAATTTACAGAATGTACATTCGCATTACGGATTGTACTACTATATTTACATATATATCAGTTGCAATTTACAAATTGTTGATCTATCTGCAATTTATAGATTGTACCATTTGCATTACCGCATTGTAACATTCAAAAAACGCATGTTTTATCAGTTGCATTTTACAAATTGTACAACCTGCGATTTACAGAATGTGCTAATTGCATTACGAATTGTATACCATTTACAATATAGGTCTTATCTGTTGCAGTTTACAAATTGTAACATCTGCAATAATTTACAGAATATACCATTTGCATTACGGATTGTACCATTTACAATAGTCAGGTCTTATCAATTGCAACTTACAAACCGTATATATCAATTACAAAATTGCGGAGTAGGTATACCATTTGTAATACAGATGGCATCATTTGCGCAATACAGATTGTATACCATTTCTAATACAAATGTTATTATATCAGTTATGCAGTTTTTAGAATGTACTATATATTTCTAATTTACAGATTCTATTTTCAATATGAATAGTACAATTTACAAAACGTAGGGAATAATTCATATTTAGTACCATTTGTGTCTATTAAACACAAATAATTACTTTTCTATTTGAATTAAAAAATAAAAGTTCACATGATCATATTACAATCTTTGTCATATACCTTTTATAGAAATAATTATATATATGTATAACTTTATAGGGGTGTTTCTTGTAGCTGTAAGGATAACATGAAGATGTTATCACAGAATCGACACTTTATGTATATATATATATATATATATACTATTATACACTAACGCTAACGACCCCTGAGTCAGAAGGCTAAAGTAAATTAATAGGTGTATCAGTGTAGCGTGAAACGAGCACTTAACACGCCATTTATGGCTATCACTTAACAGAGGGCCACTCAAGATCGAATTACCGAAAATCGAACTTTTATTCTATATAGCAACTTTAGTCTCCTGAAGATCCAACAGCGCAAGGCTCGTGTGTTCAGATGTCAGACAATTTTCGGAAACTAACTTGAACTCACATCTGGCCTGCTCTTTTCTCTATTGTTATATATACATATATATATATATATATACTGCTTCTTTTGGCTTCACCCATATTTCAAATCACTAACATAACCATTTCATTTATTGTCCACATTTTGCAATCAGATTTCAGATCAACAATATATAAAAAATTTTCATTTGTTTTTCTCAATGGACAAAAATTTCTGAATATAACATTAAACAAAAATAAATAATTCAAATTATTAGAAAAATAATTATTTGTTGATGATTATTATTTTACTCCGTTTTCAATTAACTTTGATTGAAAAAATTTTTTACGAGGCCTATTAAACGGTTATTATATTTATTTGAAAAATTAATGTACAACGTTTCGATGCATTATGCATTCTCTTCAGGTACAAATTTGTTATTTGAAAATCTCAAAAATATTGAACATCGAATATCAAATATAAAGACACGTGGATATTAAAGAAACACCTCTAAATTATTAGAATACATTAACAAGAGCGATCATACACGATATTTGGATTTAAATGTGATACACATATTAATATTTATTTTTCGACTTTTTTCTTACACTTTTTAACATATTATAAAAAATGTAAATTATATATTTTTAGAAACCCTGTTTTTACGAGGTAAGTTTAATATGTGACGCTCCATGAGAGAAGGGACCTATCTCCGAAATAATATTAGGCTTAATTTTCATGTACAGTGCACGGAAAATTGAGCCTAATGTTATTTCGGGGATAGGTCCCTTCTCCCGAGGAGCGTCACATATATGTATCACATTTAAATCCAAATATCGTGTAGGATCGCTCTTGCTAATGTATTCTAATAATTTACAGGTGTTTCTTTAATATCCACGTGTCTTTATATTTGATGTTCGATGTTGAATATTTTTGAGATTTTGAAATAACAAATTTGTACCTGAAGAGAATGCATAATGCATCGAAACGTTGTACATTAATTTTTCATAATAAACAGCAAATATAATAACCGTTTAATAGGCCTCGTAAAAAATTTTTTCAATCAAAAATAATTATTATACTATATAAACTATTTCAAATATTTCTTTTTCTAAAAAACAATTGAAATCGATATTTGCAATAATTACAATGTACAATGGAGAATGATTTTTTTTTCCAAAGATATATATATATACAATGCAAATTTTCTTTATACTTTGTCAATGGTTCTTTCCTTCATTAGTTCTGATGATCCAACTCAATTATATCCAACCAACACAATTAAACATAGCAACGTGATATAAAATTTGCGAGTTATTTTATTCCTCGTTAAAGAAAGAGATATCTTTCCAATTGGCGAGGTTTTATTGAAATTTCTCGAGTCTCAATCAATTACCTATTATATGCCTCATCATCCAATGAAATGTTTTTTCAATGCCTTATGGCAAAGACGATAATATTTTACAGTATATATAGATACGTTTTCTTATATACACTAAACACGTTGAGAATATTTTTTCATTTGAAAAAGAAAATTACGGCTAATTGTTTCGTTCATTTGAGAGGTCTATATATATATATATATATACATTATGATAAGCTTGGGCGCGATGAAACGAGGTCTTGGGGAGAAATAAAGAAAGAATATAATATATATAAAAACAGGAAAGAAAAAAAAGAAGAGTACTGGGTACACTACTGTGGGAATTGAGTATTTTCATCAGAATAATCCCTAGCGTTATGAATAATTAGTGGTATAATGAGTTGAGTGTTGGGCAGACCTGCAATGTCTCACCAAAATACAAAGAGCCTCAACAAAACGTAAAAATGGCCGCTCATCAGCAAACTGTTCTCAACCGTTCTCTTGTTTGTTTTTCATTCTCTAATATATAAATGCGAATTCCGTCACTTTTTCACTATGATTTATCAAATCATATATACGCGTGAAAAATATTTTTAAAAAACTAACAAGAGACAATAAAAAAAGGTGTCATGTTTTCGATTGGCTTATTGATTTATTGTGAATTAATTTAAAAATCATGAATTTTGTTTTTTTAATTTCTAAATATATTGATAAACATTTTTTAGACTTCAAAATTTTAAAAATTTTCTCTTCTAATATTTAAATAAAAATGTAATCTTGATTTAAGATTTACAAACGTCAACAACAAGTTAAGAATTCGCATTTATTATGAAGTAAGTGGATTTTGAGAACGATTTTCAGGTATCGGATTACCGAGACAGTACAAAGGACCAACCCTTCCATTCAAATGTCACTCTGGCACCTCGTCTTACAGTGCGAGAGCATTTAGCGCGCTTCGAGCAAAACTCTTTTTTTATTTTTTTATTTATTATTTGTCTTAGTCTTAAGTCTTGAGGGCAGACTTAAAGACGAGAGCACAGACCTCACACTATATATATAACGAATAGCATATTCTTCTAATAGAAAATAATACAATATATAATTAGATCGATCTACCTTCAATCAAATTTTCAACACCTCGAGATAAATTAATTACTTCACCTTGGAATATTCGTTGTTCATAGAAATCCTAACGTCTCTTCTATATACTTATATAATCAAATCAATTTTATTATTTGAAAGATTTAGCGCGATTACTAGTCAAAATAAAAAAGAAAAAGGACGGATGTTCTTTATATATTCATAATATGCATTCTTATTTTTAAAAGGCATACAGTCCAATGTAGTTTTTAAGAAGAATAATTAAATCTTGAATTACGATAAAATTTTGATATTTTAAATACTTGTAGTTTTTTCATACAGTAATAATATATTAATTGTATTTTTTACGATTTTAGTTTCTTGCAATATATATATATATATATATATCTATATAGTAAAAACAAAAAGTTATGAGCGGACAAATTTTTGTGGCGTCAAAAAAGTTTGTTGTGACAGTAAATTTTTAAATATTGAGACTGATATTGTTTATCATAGCAAACTTTTTCGTTGTCATAGAAAAGAATTTAGCTATGATTACTATAATTTTGATAGATTTGATAGCAAACGCTAGTATTAGCATTTCAGTATACACAAGGAAAAAAA